GCACGCACGCACGCACGCACGCACGCACGCACGCACGCACACACACACACACACACACGCACGCACACGCACACGCACACACGCTCCACCATCATCGCTGACTTACCAGTCTCAGTATGAGCGTCTTGTTCGTGTAGAGGTGCGGCGGCGTGAACTTTGACGGCTCCTTGATGTTCTGCCGCAGCTGGCGGGGAGCGTTCGGGTCGACCTTGGGCGTGTGGTCGTCGTCGCTGCTCGACGAGGGACAGCACACCATGCACTGCCTGCGCAAGGTCAACGCAAGGTCAAAAACAAGGTCACGCGTGAATACGTGCGATGCAGAGTTCAGGCAAGGTCGTGGGACAGCACACCATGCACTGCCTGCGCAAGGTCAACGCAAGATCAAAAACAAGGTCACACGTGAAAACGTGTGATGTGGAGGTCAGGTAAGGTCACACGTGAATATGTGATGAAAAGGTCAAGCAAGGTCACATGTGCGATGTGCAGGTCAGTCAAGGTAATAATATGTGAACACGTGTTGCAATAGACTCACCACCCATACAACTTGGTTTTCTTTGGCATTCTAGTCAGCGGTGGATCCAAACAACCTAGGTGGTAGTACTTGAGACAGGTGTCACACTGCGCCATCTGGTGTTGATTATTATTCTTTCCACACTCTGCACACCTGCAAAGAAGAAATTAGGGTAACAGCAATCTTATTCATTGCATAAATTTTTTTTATTAACGTCAGTACAAGTTTCCTTATTTCAACCTCATTCATAGGGTGTGTTTTTAGCTTATCTGAGCAATAGCTTAATTCAGCTCATGCGTGTGCACAACATTGCATGTACGATTGCTGCTTACTTGTGCATTAGTACAGCAGGTGGAGCCACCGCCCTCTTCTCCACCTTGGGAGATCTCACGACCTTCAGTACACTGGGAACCTCTAGCGTCTGTAACGAAAACTCATTTCACCACATGCAATCCCAAAATTTTCTATTAAGAACAATTCTTTACAACCGCAACCAACAAAACCAAAATTAGATAACAAAAGATTGAGTAAGGTAGCATTAGGGTTGCATCAATAGTGTTGCAGAGTTGCAAAAGCCAAGACTGTGGCATGACGAAAATAGCTGAGTAGGTGTGATACCTTTCCTGCCAAGGCGCACATGATGAGGTGCCAGCGATCACCATCGTCCCGTAGTTTGGTATTCGCCTCCTTCTGTTTATCAAACTCACCCTTCACCTGTCAGCGTACATTCGGAAAACATTAGCGGTCTCATCGAAATGTGATGTATCGTTTTGAATCATAAGCAACACGTATATTATATATATATATGTGTGTGTGTATGCAAATGTTTAGAATGATTATTATAAATCAAAATTTCCCCAAATTATTCTATATAAACAGCATATAAAGCTACATAACCCCCCTCTCTAACACACAAAACCACAGACCATGCACACATACTTGCTGACGCACACACGCACGCATGCATACCTGGTGATACTGTGACATCAGAGACCTCTGCTGGTCGAGAAGAGATTCGTTCTGCACGATCAGCTCCACCTGACGCTTCCTCATCGAGTTTATTCGCTCGTTGCGGTCGTAGTAGTAGTTGACAAATTGTGCGGTGAACGAAGGAGCGATGTGCCACTTCTTCTTAATGTCAATCAACTGATCATCACGCACCTGCTGCAACTAAGGACAGGTAGGGGAGTAAAGACTAGCTCGAAGGTTAGTGTGGGGTGCGTGAACAGATGCATGCTTGAATTCAGCCGATCACATATGAGAACTTTAATCGCGTATGCATATTAAACTGAACGTACCAGAAGCGTACACATACATGTATGTAAGCTGCCGTCTTGATGGGTTATATAGTAACGATGCAAACATAGGTGGTACAGTACATGTTTACTACGTCTGTGCACACATGTATCTGCTTGCGAGTACGTGCATGCACACGCGCGTACGTACATGCAAAGACACGCATGTAAGTGCACATGTGTGTGCCCATGAGACTACGTGTTCACATGTATGCGTGTATGTGACCAGGCTTGCTCATGTACCTACACATGCATGTGCGATTGCGTGTGTGTAAGTGTACGTGTGTATGCCCATGTGTACATGCGCACATGTGTATGTGACCAGCCTTGCTCATGTACCTACACACTCATGTGCAATTGCATACGCGAGCGATTGCATCCATGTGTATATATACAGGCACGTAGACCCCCCCCCCCCACCCCACCACACACACACGGTAACTACGGCATCTGCTGTACCTGCTTGTGCAGACGTATATATGTGTATGTGTGTATGCGACACCAGGCTTGCTCGTGTAACCGCGCGTGCATGTGCGTGTGCGTGTGTACAGACACGTACACTCCGACGTGGTAACTACGGCATCTGCTGTACCTGCTTCTACAGACGTATATATGTGTATGTGTGTATGCGACCAGGCTTGCTCGTGTAACCGCGCGTGCGTGTGCGTGTGCGTGTGCGTGTGCGTGTGCGTGTGCGTGTGTACAGACACGTACACTCCGACGTCGTAACTACAGCATCCTGCTTGTGCAGACGTATATATGTGTATGTGTGTATGCGACCAGGCTTGCTCGTGTAACCGCGCGTGCATGTGCGTGTGCGTGTGTACAGACACGTACGCTCCGATGTCGTAACTACGGCATCTGCTCTACCTGCGATGACTCGCTGTCGATTCCCAGCAGCTCCGCCTTCTTCAGAAGCCTGCGAAACGCGGAGGGACACGTCGTGAGCAGGCGCGGCAGCTTCTGCGTGGGTATCCAGCACGGCGGCCACGTCGTCGTGTACTTCTTGTACTTCTCTGACGCCCTGCGCGACGGCAAAAACACAAGCGTGCTTACACAAGCGTGCTTACACAAGCGTGCTAACACAAGCGTGCTAACACAAGCGTGCTTACGCGTAGAGTCTCACACCTTACACTGTGGTTTGTTACATTCATGCACGCCTGATTATATTACATTACATCTGATAATCGTATATTACATTACGTTACATTGCATCATATTACATTTACAAATGCAAGCAAGACAACAACAACAACAACAACAACAACAACAACAACAACAACAACAGCAATATTATTATTATCATTATTAATCATAATAATAATATTAATAATAATAATAACAACAAGAATAGCAACAACAACAATAATGAGAATGCTCACTATGACAGTGTACGGCGACGGTGTAAACAATACGACGGCGTAAACAACGAAACGGTGTAAACAACGCGACGCCCGCACCTGTGCAGCTTGCGGTGGAAGCGTTTCTGCTCGGGTGTCGTCATGTCCTCCAGCTTCTCCCGCAGGGTCCGCTTCTTCGTCTGCGAGCGCAGCGCGAGCCAGTTCCTGCGCTTGCTTGCCGTTATCGATCGGTCGGCGTGCAGCTTGCAGTACGCGTAGAACGGGTCGGCGATCTCCTCGTAAGGCAGCGCCTGCGGTGGGGGACGCGAGAAACAATAATAACTAACAAGGCCGTACGCAGGAAATATTCTGTAGGGGGGCAAAGGTACTCCCCATGCCCCCTGTGCGCTAACGTTTCGCAATTTCACTTTTCTTTATTTAAAGTGTAATATTTCTTTGATGATCACATTTCTATTTTATTTCTAAAAGTGTATAGTATTTGCCCCATTAAAAAGCATACTCTGAAAAGCTCTAGGGGGGAAACTGCCCCTGCTGCCCCCCTGCTGCGTACGGCCCTGATAACTAATATAATATATATATAACGCCTGAGCTCTGGCTGCCCGACGGTTATCTCGTAGGGCAGTGCCTGCAGAAACGCGCGTGCAGGCACGGGGATGTGAGGAACGGTGAGAGAAATATACACGCCCTGCCAGTGTACTACCAGTTCAAAACCAGGCACCAAACTTGAAAGAACATAAAGAAGAAAAATTTCTCTAAAAAGTTATTCTAAAAATCTGCTTGTCCAGCGGACAAGCTACTGGACATGTCTACTTGTCCTCCGTGGAAATGGACAAGTGAGGACAAACGGATAGCCCTTATTTCGAACACTGGTCATGCAGCCAGAGTATATCACTTCCCTACCCCACCTACTATCACTTCCCTAACCCATATATCACTTCCCTACCCCACCTATCACTTCCCTACCCCATATATCGCTTCCCTACCCCATATATCACTTCCCTACCCCATATATCACTTCCCTACCTCTATTACCACCTCTCTATCCCCATGTACAGCTCCCCTACCTCCAGTAATGCACGATGACGAGCACCTACCTCGGATAGCAGGCCGTGTCGCTGCGCGCACGTCACGTGGAAGTAGTTACGGCACATGCCAGCGTCGCATCGGATGCAGACGCCGCAACGATTCAGCTTCTCATCCTCACAGAGTCCGCACTCCTAAAGCATCATCATCATCATCATCAGCAGCAGCAACAGCAGCAGCAGCAACAGCAACAACAGCAGCAGTAGTAGCAGCATCATCACCATCATCATCATCATCATCATCATCATCATCATCATCATCAGCAGCAGCAGCAACAGCAACAGCAACAACAGCAGCAGTAGCAGCAGCATCATCATCATCATCATCATCAGCAGCAGTAGCAGCAGCAGCAGCAGCATTGCAGTGTAGGCGCCACCACCGTGTGCACAGCACAGCGCGCAGAATGGAGAGTTAGCATTAGTGCACCGAGATAGACGATGCGCAACTGACAGTGAGGGGTGCAAAATGCACGCTACAGAGCACGACAATGTAGAGCAAATAGTTCACGGTACACGATGATGATTGAACAATAGGGAAACCATAGGAAATAGTACGGAATATGTAACGCGGTGCGCGCGGCGGTACGTGTTGCAAAGCAGAAAGAACAGTGCAGATGTACACTAGCAGTAGTGTGTCCTATTTCTTCGTGCTATACTTTTACATACCCGCTGCCCAAATCGGGAGTAAGGCATCTCGTAGAGGGTGATTCGTGTGAGCTTGTCGACGTCTCCGAAGGCAATGCCCTGCACGTACAGGGCACAAACGAGATGCACCCACCTGGCACGGCACACAAGAAGCGGCATGTGAAACCACATATATGAAACACACTATTTTTTCACTTATTGGTACATAATGAAATTCTGAACTCATCTGCACACATTTTCGTATTAAGTAAACTTTTCACCGGAAATTTAGCAAAAAGCGGCATCAATGAAATACTCACTTTCTTGTGTCAGTCTCCTTAAATAGTCCGCCCAAGTTTGGACACAGTTCACAGCTCTGCGAAAGACATAAAATTTACATCTTTCAATGACAAAAAAACTTGCATACTTGGTATCGCTACACACCACTTTACATTGTTTTCTTATGTACCAACTAAATCAAGAATGCCTATTATCGATAAAATTAAAGCTGCTCGATGCCAAAATGGTTAACTATGGTTGCACGTATCTAAGCACCACCACCACCACCACCACCACCATCGCCACCGCCACCACCACCACCACCAACCCCACCACCACCACCACCACCACCACCACCACCACCACCGCCAGCACCACTGGCGGTACCACCCCCACCACCGCCAGCACCACCGCCACAACCACGCCAGCAGCAGCAGCAGCAGCACCACGCACCACCCAACCGTCACCGCCACCCGCCACCGCCACCGCCACCGACCTCCACCACCGCCAGCACCCA